CTCTGTTACACTACTAAACATTAGTGAGAGTTCTCTGTAAACTTCAAATGCAGGGCTGGATCTAATTTGTGATGCTTGGTGATGTCCACAGTGATGTGTGTGTGTCACTGCAGTTTCTTACTTGTGTATCCCACTGGAATGTAACCCAGGAGCTTTCAGGACTCCCAGCTGTGAGCACTGGCAGAACAAACCAGCAGTAGGAAAGAGAAGCAGTTTCTCAATTTCTGCACCACTTCAACTATCCTCACTCTCTTTATCTGCTTCCTTCCTTTCCTTAAATGATGTGGAGTATCAGGATCAGAAGGCAAAGCATGTTTGAGGGCCAGGGACACATCTGACTAGCAGAGCATGCAGTGCCAGGGGACAGTTTGAAATCTGCTGGCATGGAACTGGGTTTGGGCACTTCACTCTGGTGCCAAATGTTGCCCAGGAGAGCAGGCAGTGGTTGCTAAAGCTGCCAGATGCCATTCTGTGCTGCTGATCGGTTAAGGAGTGATACCATCAGCATCCCAGCAACACATCTGGCTTCAGAGAGGGAAAAGAGAATTTCCTCCAACATCTCTCAGTTGCAAGAGGCTGGGACAGAAGCCTTCTCTCCCATTTACCAGAATTGTCCAATCTTATTCCCAGACCAAGAATGTGTTCCTGCAAGTGTTCTTTCTGAAACTTCTTTTGAACAACCAAGTAAGCAAAATCCCACACATCTTTGAAAGTAGCTAAGAGATATTTAGTAATTGCACAGGTAGAACTCCCTTTTAGTGATGTTCTCCAGTTTCTTAGAATCTCTCTAGTTTGCATTTTCCCCATTTTAAAACTATAAATTTTACTAGTACCTGTACTCTGAGGTTCAAATATGTGCTTTGTGAAGGAGATGCAGTTTTTCTTTGTGGTTTACACTAGTTATTTCCAACTTGCTCTCTGAACTCTAAGGACACCAACCTTCTGTATATGCTCTGCTGGTGCTGCCTGCACAGCATTTAGCTTCTTTTTCAGCTCCTGCTTCACCCATTGCTCCAGGAACACATTCTGTTTCATGGTGAACACGTATGTGGCATAGGCAGTCAGTAAAAGGAGGCTTTCCCACCAATCAATGACACTGTCTAGGAAAAACAGGATGAGCATCAGTAAGTCTACAATGTAGAATGTGATGTCTCTAAATAAGGGCCACCATGTCAGGTGGAGTATCTGCCTTGAGAAGAGGGCACAGGTGCCAATGACAAAGAGGATATTAAACACTGCTGAGCCCACAATGGTACCGATGCCAACATTGCTGTGTGAGATGAAGACGCCTATGAGGGATGTGAAGAGTTCTGGTGCTGATCCACCTGCTGCCATGAAGGTGGCTCCAGCCACATCTTCAGAGATCTCCAACTTCTCAGTGATCACTCCCAAAGCAGGCACAAAATACTCATCACACACTATGGCCAAGGCCACAAACACATACATCATGCCAAAGATGTGAAGGACAACCCACCCTTGCCTGCGTTCTTCCACACTGAACAGGTCCTGGGGATATTCTCCTTTGGACTCATAGGGTGGTTTTTCATCTGGGGAGCTTTCACTGGCGTTTTCTTGCTGTGGTGTTGTCCCCACTGATGTGGTGACGGGCACGGCTGGCTCAGGATCCACATAGATGCAGTGCCTTATTTTGGGTGCTGTGGCATTGCCTCTTACAGCAGTCTTGTTGCTGGGGAGGTCCCTGGAGGTCACTTTGACAGGGTCCGTGGGTTGGGGGGCTCTGTGTGATGCTGGGAGGGCAGAGGGGCTGAACTGGAGCTGACAGACAGAGAAGACCAACACTATGGCAAGCAAGAAGAGGATTCGGTTCTTCCGTAGCCGTCTCCTCCGTGGTAAATGCATTTCCTAAAGGTTCAAAACTCAGAGCTGTGTCCAGAAGACACTGAAGACTTCACTTGGTCAGCAGTTTGCTGATCTGGAGCATCAGGAGTGGAACTACACAGCACAATTTCTAGCTGATCTGGAGCATCAGGAGTGGAACTGCACAGCACAAAATGGGGAATCCTGCAAAAGAAAATCTGGTGTGAAAAACAAAGTACTGCAACTTTCCACCATCTGGGCAGCAACACTTCACTGATTGCTTGTCTATTTTTCAATAAAAACAAATGGACTTAAATGAGTAAAGAGATATCTAGATCCAGGTTTCAGTCTATTTTTAGTGTGACTGTAGGCTACGCTGATTAATAATCAAAGATTTGGTTTAAGAGAATGGAGTTGTCCAATCCAAGCTGAATTCTGGTTCCACCAAATGCCCATATCCAGGAGCTGTTAAGGACTTCATTGATCAGAGTCCAGTTATTATTCTGTAATATTATCAATTGGGTCAGTGTTGTGCAGAAAGAGTAGATATGGCTTCTGTCAAGGAACCAACTTTAAATTGCTAAAAATGATGCTCTGAAGACAAGACCAAGCTGTTCAAACCTCCCTGCTAAACCAGTTATTCACCAAAATAACCCCAGGAGGATGGAAACTGGTTTAGATGTGATGTTTCTCCATGGCTCTCCAGCCTTTCACTTCCCAGGAAACCATCCAAGGAAGGGTGAGGTTTTTCCTTCAGTTTGAGCAGAGGGTGAGAAGACCATGGTTCTAGTAAAATTGTGGGTGCTGAGCAGCCATTTGTTTCTATGACTACATCTTTTCAGGGCTTTCTGTAGAAATCAGAACTGGCAAAGTGGAATTGTAATCATACCTTTTATTAGGGGGTAATTAGCATATCTTGCATAATTATGTGAACAGCATTTAGAAAGGGAGAGAAATTGTAAATGCCAGAGTGACAGTGCCTGCAGCTGTGACAGCATGGGGACAGTGTTTTGGGACTGGACAGAATTCACTCTTCAGCACTGCTTGAATGTTTTACCTGAGAATGACACTCGATGGATTTTTTTTTTTTTCCAGAGTGGGCATGTTACATTATTCTTTAGCTGTGAATCATAGTTTTCTAGGCCATTCTCAGATAAGCTCTTCATGCAAGTTATCACACATTTACACTCTTGCATAACACCCAGGGAAGGTATCAGCCTAAATTTCTTGCAAAACAGGCAATGTTAATTTAAATAGTTGGGAGGATCACTAAGGCAACAGTAAGAGAGGGTCATGGGAGCACCTAGATAAACAGATGACACAAGCTTTGCTTTTCATACATAAAAAGAAAAGAAACATATATGTGACAGAACATCACAAAAGGTATAACAAATTGCATATTAAAATAAAATAACTTTCCCTAATAAAGACAGGTCTCCAAATTGAGCTTCTTAAAAGACATTTTGTGAGCAGAAAGAAATCCAAAGCCAGGATCAGTTCTAAGAGCTCTGCAGCCTTTCACAACTCCTGACCAGAAGAATGCAGAAGAATGCAGAAGAATTGTGTCTCTAGTCTTAGTTTAGATCAGTTCCTGATAAACTCCTTTTCTCACCTCCTGTCTCAGTAACACGAAATCCAAGCAATAAAACAACTCTCCCCAGCCTACCTTCCAAAGGTCTGTCCAGGAGGAAGGGGAGTTCCAGGGGCTAGGTGTACTGCTGGAAGCTTCTTTGGTAGTTAACAGCCAGATGGGAGATGCTGTTGCAGAGAGAGGCAGGGGAAAATGATCCCATTTTCCAGATGTCTCCTCTGCTGGCAGAGTCCTAAAACAAGAGCGGGTCAGGTGTGAAGGACATGTTAGTGGAGGAATTCCCAATCCAGTTTAATACCCACAGCCCCTAAGAAGATTAAATAGTATTGATAGATAGATTTGGGTCTATCTCTGAAGCCAATACCTTTGTCTGCTACCACAGGTTATTCTCAGTGTGAGGACAGGTGATTATCCCCTTCACAAACTCCTGGACTGAAGCACCAGCCATGGACACGGACCACCCTCATGGCACTGGCAGCGGGTAAATCACATTTATAAACACTTTTAAACAAGACACATGGAGCTGCATTTTGAGGCATCTCCTGTGGCTGGCAGCCCAGATGCCAGACAAGCAGCTCTGCTGTTCTTTGCCACAGTATGTGATGACTTTGCAATGCCAGAGCGAGGTTTATAACTTGTTGGCTCCTGGAAAAATCCCTCAGGGCCTATGCCAGGAGCACTGAGTCAGGGACCTGGGGATGGTGCCTGTGACTCTTCTGTGGCACTGATATGGTGCAGCTCCACAGGGGAAGAAATAACAACATCCCTGACCAAGGATTTAACAGCTACAACAATCTAATAGTCAGATTTATCACAGGAGAATTAGAAGTCTGATTTGATTTTGGGTCGCTCATGGCGAGACGGATGTTCAGGTGCTGGAGCATGTCCAGGGAAGGGAACAGAGCTGGGCAGGGTCTGGAGCGGCTGAGGGAGCTGGGAAGGGGCTCAGCCTGGAGAAAAGGAGGCTCAGGGGGACCTTGTAGCTCTGCACAGCCCCTGACAGGAGGGGACAGCCAGGGGTGTCGGGCTGTGCTCCCAGGGAACAGGGACAGGAGGAGGGAGAACAACCTCAAGTTGTACCAGGGGAGATTTAGGTTGGATATTAGGGAAAATTTCTCTGCTAAAGGCGTGTTCAGCATTGCAGCAGGCTGCCCAGGGCAGTGGTGGAGCCCCCATCCCCGGAGGGATTTAAAAGCTGTGTGGATGTGGCACCCGGGGGTGGTTTATGGTGGCCTTGGCAGTGCTGGGGCAACAGTGGGACTTGATGATCTTAGAAGGTTTTTCCAGCTAAGCTATTCTGTGAATCTCTGATAATTTTAAAGCAAACTGTTTTCCGAACACACAACTTCAGGAGTATATCCCAGTTTTGCACTGGAGTTTATTGCCTCCCCGCCCCCCACTCCCACACGAACAGAGCCAGGAGAAGGAGGTGCGCTGCCCAGCCGGGATGCTTATCCATAAACCCTTCTCCACACACAGCGGTCATTTTGGCCCTGTTTCACGCGGGCACACGTTCCCCGGCGCGGCCATCCCGCATTCCCGCTTGCCGCGCGGGGCCGGCCCTCACGGGCCGCTTCCGGGGGCCGCTTTCGCTGCCGCACGCATGGCGGCGCGGCGGGCCGGGCTGTGCAGCAGCGTTTCCCTTCCGCCGCCCCGCTCCGCCGCTCGGCCCCGCCGGCGCTCCGGGGACAGCCCCGCTGAGGGCGAAGGCTCGTAGGGAGGGCTGCGTCCCTGCCCGACCGCCCTCGGAGCGGCCAAGCTGCGCCTTTTCCCCAGCGAGGCTCAGCTCCTGCTGTCTCCAGGCCTTGCGCCGCAGCCGGCTGGAAATGCCGTGTGGGGTTCAGCGTGTGTTCAGCTAATCCGTGCTCAGCCCCGCGTTGTGAGGGGGAAAAGGGTAATTGGCGCTTCTCCCCGGGGTCAGCGTGAGGGGGCGAGCTCCGCAAGTGCAGCTTTGGTAATGCTTTGTGCCTTCCCTCCCGCTGCAGGCAGGAGATCCGGGCTGAGCCGGCCGTGGGGGCGGCGGAGGAGCGGCTCGCCATGCCCACCGTGGTGGTGATGGACGTGTCGCTGTCCATGACGCGGCCGGTGTCCGTGGAGGGCTCCGAGGAGTACCAGCGCAAGCACCTGGCGGCCCACGGGCTCACCATGCTCTTCGAGCACATGGCCACCAACTACAAGCTGGAGTTCACGGCCTTGGTGGTGTTCTCATCCCTCTGGGAGCTCATGGTGCCTTTCACAAGAGACTACAATACGCTCCAGGTAGGGGCTGTGAGCATTAAGTAAAAGCCTTTGTCATTTTTTAAAATCATCTAACTGTACCATCAAAGCAGAGTGAAGCTGTGTGATTTGGTATCATCCTATGCACAACGTCTTGAATTGAGTGGGTTTGTCCTAATTTTAAGGGCAGGTGAAATCAGTGTGTTTGAAACAGTGAATTTTGCCAGTTGCACCTTTGCAGGTGAGCACTGGGGTGTGGCTGATTGACTCTGAAATGGGATGGAGTTAAAAATGGGATGAAGGGAAGGGCTGCCTGGTGAAGTTCTCCAAGTGGGTCTGTGATGCCCCTGTTTTTATGTGTAGTTGTTGGTTTGCTCTTGATAAACAATGCAGGTGACAGGACCATTTAAAAAGGCTCTGAGTCTAATGATTTGATGGAGAGAAGCTGCTCTTGAGAGTGTGTACAAGTCAAAAGAGTGCAAGAGTGAGAATAAGTGATTTTAGGCCTCACAGATGCACAAATTGGGAAATTGGGAGGAAGAAATGGAAAGGAGAAAGTCCAAGAGGGAAATTTCACATGAATGCAGTAAGGCCCTGGAGCCTCTGAATCCAGTAAAAATTGTACATTTATATCTGACCCTCACATGCAGGAGGAAATGACACATTTGTGTCACAGGGCACCATGGTTTGGGTTTGTCCATTGGGCAAAGAGATTTTAAAAGCTGTTCACTGTTACGTTTGCAGTTTAGAAGATTAATTTTCACTTCCCTAAAGGTTCATTGGAGGAATTTTGCAAGCCAGGAGCCCAACCAGGCTCCTTTAGCAAGTTCATCTCACAGTTGCACCCTGGTGATGCTGTGTTAAGTGTGAGGTTTTTACTTCTAGGAGAAAAGAAGTTTTTACTTTTGGCTTATGGATGCAGATGTGAGTTTTGAGTTTGTTTTTCTCTGCCAAAGAGTTTTTGTGAAACAAACTCCTTGTGGTCTCTGCTTTGACACCTGTGAGGATTTTCTCACCTAAACATTTCCTGTTGCCTCAGGTTTTCACTTTTTTAAGATATGCAAAGGTGTTTTTCACTCTTAAAGAGCTGTGGTGATAATATTACAGCTTCTTCAAAGCCAGGAGTGCCTGCTGGGTGTCTCCTGGCAGGGATGTTCCCCCAGCAGTGACTGTGGTGTTTGTCTTTGCAGGAAGCCCTGAGTAACATGGATGATTATGACAAAACCTGTTTGGAGTCGGCGCTGCTGGGGGTTTGCAATATTGTCCAGCAGGAATGGGGGGCAGCAATTCCTTGCCAGGTATGGCTGATTGCACTGCTTTGAGTTCACTGCATGTTTAGTTATGCCTGGCAGGGAGATTGGAACTTGGTGATGTTTAAGACCTCTTCCAACACAAACCATCCTGTGATTGATTCTATTCCTGCGAGTTGCACATAGAAATGTAAATGTAATTTGAAAGTTTGGAATTCTCTCAGGCACGCTGGTGCTGCACAAACACAAAGAATTAGTATTTTGGCCAAACCTGCAATATGAACAGAAGGTGATCTTTATAAAATATTCAGCAGCAAAAAAAAAAAAAAAAAGAAGAAGATACTGTTTCCTGCCCAATGTGTTCTTGTAGTGCAGTGGATTGTAAAATGTGGCTCAGGAGCACTGTTGTGCAGGCCTAGTGTTTGATCTGGGTGCAGTCTGCTGTCCCAGGAGCCTCACTGCATTTGGAAAAGGTGTAGTCCCACTTCAGGAGCCTTTCCCCGATGGTTTCCAGGGCTTGTAACAATTCCAGCTCTCAACCAACAGCGTGGGGCTGCTGCTGAGTGTGTTTTGATTTGACTTCTCTCCCAAATGAGTCATTTGCCATGCAGCTGCTCACAAACCCCATTCAGCCCTGCAAGCTCTCAGCCTTCCAAATCTGCTGCCTTTTATGGCAGAGTTTGCTTTTAACCCTGGGTTTTCTGAGACACTTGATTTAAGTTCAGCAATTTTGCAGCTCAGTGAACTGGGAAGATGCCTGAAGCAATATTCCTTATGGAGAAAAAAGGATAGAAGTTTATTGGTTAAGCAGTGCTTCATCATCCAACAGGGACAAAAGGCACCTTGGGAAGCAAAGAACAAGAAAGATGTGAAAACCAAGCAGAGATTAGACCTCAACTATTTTGTCTCTCATTTGTGTCATATCTCATTTTACTGGCACTTCAGGTGCTGGGGTGGAGGAGGGCACTGAGGAATGTGCTGTGCAGCCTCGGAGTAGTGGAAGACATCATTGGTGAGCACCAGTTCTGAGGAGACTGTGAGAGGGACTGAGGATGAAGGGAGAATACAAATCTGGATGTAGCAATTACACATGGAGTTTCAATTGGATTTGATTTTCCTTATCTGCCAGCCAGAAATCATGCTTGCTGTTGCCATGCAGCATTGAAGGGAGCAGCTTTTTTACTCCTCTGAAAGTGACTGGGTCACAGCTGAGTGTAAATAATCCCATTATTCAGTGTAATTAGTGCAGGTTTCCACAGGGATTGGCTCTGGATGTGCAATTGAATGGAAAAGTGTGTGGTTTTGCTGTAGTAGTTCTGCTGCAAAATATGAGCATAATGCAGCTGTATTTGCAAAGAATTAAGATCACTAATGCTACCCTTTTTTGAGGTTTCTGTGGCTTGTAGTGGAAGTTGAGTTGCTCTCCAAATTCTGCAGAAGAAATGGGCTTCATCATCCATCTGAAAACAAACCTGGAATCATCGAGTCCAATAGCAAGAGGCTGGTTTTTGGCTGTGTAGTCACTGTCTTTCTAGTGTACATTTAAAAATGAAATATTTGAGATTCAAATTTTGGTGCCATTACCTAATGCCAAGAAAACGTTTATTTACCATGCACACCATGTAAACTACGAGGGTTCAATCTTCAATTTCTCCTTGCTGTGGGGTTCAGTCTGGAAATCTTGCCAGCAGTTCTTTGCCCAGCTCTGTGGAGGAAACCCGGTGGGAGCAGGGATTTTCCTGCAGTGTGCGGTGTTCAGGTGGCCGGTGCGGTGCGGCTGAAGTGTCCCCCGTGTCCCCGCAGGTTGTGCTGGTCACCGACGGCTGCCTGGGCATCGGCCGGGGCTCCCTGCGCCACTCCCTGGCCACCCACAGCCAGCGCAGCGACAGCAACAGGTTCCCACTGCCCTTCCCGTTCCCGTCCAAGCTCTACGTCATGTGCATGGCCAACCTGGAAGAGGTGATGCCTTATTCTTTCTTGCATTGCATAAGTGTTGGTTTTCTCTGAACTAACGACCAGCTCAGCACAAAACATTGCGTTGATGTTCTTGTGCTCAAAGGTTTAGCTGGCATTCTGGTGCTTAGTTATTGGGTGAAAGAGAATTTAAGGTTTATTATTGCACTGTTATTATCTACTGCTACCACCTTATTATAATCTGTATAAATCATGCCAGTTTGTCCCTGGAGAATATGATGGAATTTTAATTTCTCTGTTTATATTACTACTGTATTAATTACGTTGAATGCTTTTGGGGCTCTTCTTAATCTACAATTAAATTCTTGAATAAATGACTTGTCTTGCAAAGATGCTCAACATTTAAAACACAGTAGCTGTATGTAGAAATGTGAGAGGCGACAACTGAAATCTCCAAGCTAGTGTTCAAACCAGTTTCCCTTAGTTTTGAAGGAAAGGTGTTAAATTTCTTCTTCTCTTCTCCTTTTCTTGCAAATTTCAATCCCAGCTTTAAAAATCTTCACAGGAATTAGAATTCTGCTGCACAAACATTTGTTTAAAAAGAAGCCTATTTGACTAATATTTGTTAGATTAAGTTTTATTAATAGCATTACTTTTGATTTGACTCCTGTATTCTTGTGTCCTTCACAGAAGGGTTTTCTGCTTAGGCATCAACTAGATAGCTTAGTTTCATGGTCTCTGTCATGGATGATGCTTTTGAGTAAGCTGATGAATTGAAGCACTGTTAACATCTCAAATAACTGGGAAAATATTTAAAATAAGTATTTAAAATAAATCATCTATTTCTGATAAGTAACAAGAGAACATTGCCTGGGAGACAAAGAATGTTGGTTTATTTGGAAAGGAGAGAGAGAACAAAAAATCATGGGAGCATCCAATCAGATGCTTTTTGCTGTATTGTGTATATTTTCTTTTAAAATACTGGTTAGTACAAAAGAGAATAAAAAGATCACTCAACAAAAATATTTCCCTTTCTTTTTCTGCAGCTTCAAAGCACAGATTCCTTAGACTGCCTGGAACGGCTCATTGATTTAAACAATGGGGAGGGGCAGATTTTCACCATTGATGGCCCCCTGTGCCTGAAGAATGTGCAGTCCATGTTTGGGTGAGCACACTTGTAGATAATATACCTTTGGGAAGGTTCCCAGTTGCTATCTTGAAAGGAAAGCAAATACAATAAGAAATCTGGTGATATGACATGTCCTTTTTTAAACTCCTTTTTAAACTCCTTTTTTTTTTATTTTATGATCTTGTTAACTGTAATTTCATCTCGGCCTTCACTGGTTATGGTCAATATTTATTTTAGTCTTTGTAAAAACCGTAGCATCTGTTTATGCTTGGCAGATAGAAGACAGTAATTTCCATAATTATTGTTCATTTGCCATGAGTGGGATAATGCTGCTCTAGTTTCATAATTTAGCAACACTAGAACTATTGCATTAACTGTAGTTAAAACAGGTTTGGGAGCTAAATTAGTGTGCTTTAGAGAAACTGTTTGCATTTAATATGTATTATGTTTTCCTTAATAACTGTGTTCTAGAAAGCTAATAGACCTGGCTTATACACCATTCCATGCTGTCCTCAAGTGTGGTCACTTAACATCTGATGTGCAAGTATTTCCCAGACCAGAGCCTTTCATTATAGATGAGGAAATAGACCCCATTCCTAAAGCAATTAATACAGGTAACAAATCTTTGATTGCTTTTTTACTAAAATCCATTTGATTTCTGTCCTTTCACTACCACCTCTCATCCTGTGGAGTTATTGCTTCATCCACTTTTTTTTTCTCTGCAAGGATCAGTCTCGGACTGATTTTTTGGTATATTTTTTTGGTGTATGTGTGGCACCAGGGAATAAAAATATCATCCTACTTCATCCGTGTGTACCTGGCTAAAGGGCTGGAGCAGGGTAGAGGCACTTTCAGAGCTCAGGGTGCCAATTTGTAGGGGTAGAGACTGGAAGACAGCCACAGGCTGCTTTCCATGAGCACCCTCATAAGCTTCAGGGAGGAGAAATTATTTTTAAAAACAACTGTGCATTAAAAAAAAACCTTCCCAGCCCTCCCGTTAGTGGACACAGCTCCCATGAGCAGCAGGTTGCTTTTTGTCTTTTGGAATTTATAAGACAGCAGTGGATTGTGTACAGTGTAAATACCAAGGTGTCCAGCAGCAGTCTGTGTCTGCTGAAAGTCACCTTCAAAAGTTGTGTGTTTTATGTATTTCTAACTTATTAACACCTTTACACTCCAGTTGAGTTTGGGTTCTCTTGTGCTACCTTGAGTCATTGCTTCAGAAAACCTGGTGGTGTAAGAAGTGGTGATGTTAAATAGCCTCTGAATACATTTCAGTTGTTTCCAAATATGACTTAAACTGTCTTAAATCTGATTTAAATCTGTTGTTTCCCTGCAGATCTAGAAATTGTTGGGTTTGTAGATATTGCAGACATTTCCAGCCCTCCTGTCTTGTCCAGACACTTGGTATTGCCCATTGCACTTAACAGAGGTGAGCAAGTTGGGTTTATTTCAGCAAAAACTACTTTAAGCTTCCCTTGTAATGAAGTTTAGACTGGAAGCAGTTTTTTTTGCTCTATCAAAATACCAGATGTCATATATGTGTGATTGCATTAAGATTAAAACCTTGACCACAGGCTTTCTTATTTTGCAAACTATGTTCTTTGTGAAGTTCGTAGAGGGACCAGGGTCCTTACAACATCATTATTAATAGAACATGCTAAACTTACAGTTGAGAATAATAATGAGCCATTAAATATGTGGTGCAAGATGAATATTTAATGTCCTTGAGTATATTGCAGTGGAATATTTATGTATCATTATTGTGCCACTTTGCCCAAGAAGTTCATTCTGCAGCTGTTTGTTGTACCAAAGTATTCATTAACTCTTGCAGGCTTAAAGGGTGGTGTCATGGAAACAGAACTCTTGTGTTTGAATGTATTCTCATGTTTTCTCTTTGCTTGCTTTGATTCTTCCCCAGAGGGGGATGAGGTGGGACCTGGGATCACAGATGACACTGAAGATGAGAATTCAGCTAATCAGATTGCTGGGAAAATCCCCAACTTCTGTGTTTTATTACATGGCAGCCTGAAAGTGGAAGGCATGGTGGCTCTCGTCCAGTTGGGGTATGGAGTTGGATGTCTGCCTGAAAAATCTCTTACTTTGCTCATTTAGGCTTTATTTATAAATTATGCTTATTTATATCTGTATTCTGTGCAGAACTCTGCACTGCTAGACTAAGCTGTGGATTTTTAATTGCAGATTTGTTTCTGTCAATACAAATTACAAACACTGAGCCTCCCCACAGTGAGAGGGAGGCACATTCTAGGCAGAGGCGTGGAAGATTTTCAGCCTTTCAGAGTTTGCTCTTTTCCACAGGCCAGAGTGGTATGGAATGCTTTATTCACAAGCTGATAGCAAGAAGAAATCAAACCTCATGATGTCACTCTTTGAACCTGGTCCTGAGCCCCTCCCATGGCTGGGGAAGATGGCACAGCTTGGCCCCATTTCAGGTACTGGTCATGCTCCTCTGAGTAACTCTTCACCATTCAGTGCTGTGTAAATGATCTTGGCAATTCTTAGTTGCTAAGTCTATAATTTCTTTTTTCTCCCAGATGCAAAAGAAAATCCTTATGGGGAGGATGACAATAAGAGCCCTTTCCCTTTGCAGCCCAAGAACAAGCGCAGCTATGCCCAGAATGTCACTGTGTGGATCAAACCCAGTGGCCTCCAGGTAATGACCCAGCTTGTGCTGCTTTACCTGGAGCAGCAGGAGCCATTTCAGCAGGAACTGGGTCTGTGCATGTCTTGCCCATTTAATGTAATTGCTTTATTGCTTTTCTTTCATTTTTATAAACACTGCCTCTTTACAATGTCATGATTAAAATGCAATCAGAAAGCATAGCTTGTTTAATGAGAGTTGTGTCTCCAGTGGAGCATCTGGCTTGGTTTATTTGATTTACTATAATTACCAGCTATGTTTCAGCCTTTGTGAGCTGCAGTCTTGTCAATGGTCAGGATAATTTATCCATAAAGAGTTGGCGGTTGTTCTGCAGCTTTTCCCAGAAGCTGCCAAGATTTTTGGAATTTTTTTTTCTCTTTTCTGCAGACAGATGTACAGAAGATCTTGAGAAATNGGCCGCTTTCGCTGCCGCACGCATGGCGGCGCGGCGGGCCGGGCTGTGCAGCAGCGTTTCCCTTCCGCCGCCCCGCTCCGCCGCTCGGCCCCGCCGGCGCTCCGGGGACAGCCCCGCTGAGGGCGAAGGCTCGTAGGGAGGGCTGCGTCCCTGCCCGACCGCCCTCGGAGCGGCCAAGCTGCGCCTTTTCCCCAGCGAGGCTCAGCTCCTGCTGTCTCCAGGCCTTGCGCCGCAGCCGGCTGGAAATGCCGTGTGGGGTTCAGCGTGTGTTCAGCTAATCCGTGCTCAGCCCCGCGTTGTGAGGGGGAAAAGGGTAATTGGCGCTTCTCCCCGGGGTCAGCGTGAGGGGGCGAGCTCCGCAAGTGCAGCTTTGGTAATGCTTTGTGCCTTCCCTCCCGCTGCAGGCAGGAGATCCGGGCTGAGCCGGCCGTGGGGGCGGCGGAGGAGCGGCTCGCCATGCCCACCGTGGTGGTGATGGACGTGTCGCTGTCCATGACGCGGCCGGTGTCCGTGGAGGGCTCCGAGGAGTACCAGCGCAAGCACCTGGCGGCCCACGGGCTCACCATGCTCTTCGAGCACATGGCCACCAACTACAAGCTGGAGTTCACGGCCTTGGTGGTGTTCTCATCCCTCTGGGAGCTCATGGTGCCTTTCACAAGAGACTACAATACGCTCCAGGTAGGGGCTGTGAGCATTAAGTAAAAAGCCTTTGTCATTTTTTAAAATCATCTAACTGTACCATCAAAGCAGAGTGAAGCTGTGTGATTTGGTATCATCCTATGCACAACGTCTTGAATTGAGTGGGTTTGTCCTAATTTTAAGGGCAGGTGAAATCAGTGTGTTTGAAACAGTGAATTTTGCCAGTTGCACCTTTGCAGGTGAGCACTGGGGTGTGGCTGATTGACTCTGAAATGGGATGGAGTTAAAAATGGGATGAAGGGAAGGGCTGCCTGGTGAAGTTCTCCAAGTGAGTCTGTGATGTCCCTGTTTTTATGTGTAGTTGTTGGTTTGCTCTTGATAAACAATGCAGGTGACAGGACCATTTAAAAAGGCTCTGAGTCTAATGATTTGATGGAGAGAAGCTGCTCTTGAGAGTGTGTACAAGTCAAAAGAGTGCAAGAGTGAGAATAAGTGATTTTAGGCCTCACAGATGCACAAATTGGGAAATTGGGAGGAAGAAATGGAAAGGAGAAAGTCCAAGAGGGAAATTTCACATGAATGCAGTAAGGCCCTGGAGCCTCTGAATCCAGTAAAAATTGTACATTTATATCTGACCCTCACATGCAGGAGGAAATGACACATTTGTGTCACAGGGCACCATGGTTTGGGTTTGTCCATTGGGCAAAGAGATTTTAAAAGCTGTTCACTGTTACGTTTGCAGTTTAGAAGATTAATTTTCACTTCCCTAAAGGTTCATTAGAGGAATTTTGCAAGCCAGGAGCCCAACCAGGCTCCTTTAGCAAGTTCATCTCACAGCTGCACTCTGGTGATGCTGTGTTAAGTGTGAGGTTTTTACTTCTAGGAGAAAAGAAGTTTTTACTTTTGGCTTATGGATGCAGATGTGAGTTTTGAGTTTGTTTTTCTCTGCCAAAGAGTTTTTGTGAAACAAACTCCTTGTGGTCTCTGCTTTGACACCTGTGAGGATTTTCTCACCTAAACATTTCCTGTTGCCTCAGGTTTTCACTTTTTTAAGATATGCAAAGGTGTTTTTCACTCTTAAAGAGCTGTGGTGATAATATTACAGCTTCTTCAAAGCCAGGAGTGCCTGCTGGGTGTCTCCTGGCAGGGATGTTCCCCCAGCAGTGACTGTGGTGTTTGTCTTTGCAGGAAGCCCTGAGTAACATGGATGATTATGACAAAACCTGTTTGGAGTCGGCGCTGCTGGGGGTTTGCAATATTGTCCAGCAGGAATGGGGGGCAGCAATTCCTTGCCAGGTATGGCTGATTGCACTGCTTTGAGTTCACTGCATGTTTAGTTATGCCTGGCAGGGAGATTGGAACTTGGTGATGTTTAAGACCTCTTCCAACACAAACCATCCTGTGATTGATTCTATTCCTGCGAGTTGCACATAGAAATGTAAATGTAATTTGAAAGTTTGGAATTCTCTCAGGCACGCTGGTGCTGCACAAACACAAAGAATTAGTATTTTGGCCAAACCTGCAATATGAACAGAAGGTGATCTTTATAAAATATTCAGCAGCAAAAAAAAAAAAAAAAAGAAGAAGATACTGTTTCCTGCCCAATGTGTTCTTGTAGTGCAGTGGATTGTAAAATGTGGCTCAGGAGCACTGTTGTGCAGGCCTAGTGTTTGATCTGGGTGCAGTCTGCTGTCCCAGGAGCCTCACTGCATTTGGAAAAGGTGTAGTCCCACTTCAGGAGCCTTTCCCCGATGGTTTCCAGGGCTTGTAACAATTCCAGCTCTCAACCAACAGCGTGGGGCTGCTGCTGAGTGTGTTTTGATTTGACTTCTCTCCCAAATGAGTCATTTGCCATGCAGCTGCTCACAAACCCCATTCAGCCCTGCAAGCTCTCAGCCTTCCAAATCTGCTGCCTTTTATGGCAGAGTTTGCTTTTAACCCTGGGTTTTCTGAGACACTTGATTTAAGTTCAGCAATTTTGCAGCTCAGTGAACTGGGAAGATGCCTGAAGCAATATTCCTTATGGAGAAAAAAGGATAGAAGTTTATTGGTTAAGCAGTGCTTCATCATCCAACAGGGACAAAAGGCACCTTGGGAAGCAAAGAACAAGAAAGATGTGAAAACCAAGCAGAGATTAGACCTCAACTATTTTGTCTCTCATTTGTGTCATATCTCATTTTACTGGCACTTCAGGTGCTGGGGTGGAGGAGGGCACTGAGGAATGTGCTGTGCAGCCTCGGAGTAGTGGAAGACATCATTGGTGAGCACCAGTTCTGAGGAGACTGTGAGAGGGACTGAGGATGAAGGGAGAATACAAATCTGGATGTAGCAATTACACATGGAGTTTCAATTGGATTTGATTTTCCTTATCTGCCAGCCAGAAATCATGCTTGCTGTTGCCATGCAGCATTGAAGGGAGCAGCTTTTTTACTCCTCTGAAAGTGACTGGGTCACAGCTGAGTGTAAATAATCCCATTATTCAGTGTAATTAGTGCAGGTTTCCACAGGGATTGGCTCTGGATGTGCAATTGAATGGAAAAGTGTGTGGTTTTGCTGTAGTAGTTCTGCTGCAAAATATGAGCATAATGCAGCTGTATTTGCAAAGAATTAAGATCACTAATGCTACCCTTTTTTGAGGTTTCTGTGGCTTGTAGTGGAAGTTGAGTTGCTCTCCAAATTCTGCAGAAGAAATGGGCTTCATCATCCATCTGAAAACAAACCTGGAATCATCGAGTCCAATAGCAAGAGGCTGGTTTTTGGCTGTGTAGTCACTGTCTTTCTAGTGTACATTTAAAAATGAAATATTTGAGATTCAAATTTTGGTGCCATTACCTAATGCCAAGAAAACGTTTATTTACCATGCACACCATGTAAACTACGAGGGTTCAATCTTCAATTTCTCCTTGCTGTGGGGTTCAGTCTGGAAATCTTGCCAGCAGTTCTTTGCCCAGCTCTGTGGAGGAAACCCGGTGGGAGCAGGGATTTTCCTGCAGTGTGCGGTGTTCAGGTGGCCGGTGCGGTGCGGCTGAAGTGTCCCCCGTGTCCCCGCAGGTTGTGCTGGTCACCGACGGCTGCCTGGGCATCGGCCGGGGCTCCCTGCGCCACTCCCTGGCCACCCACAGCCAGCGCAGCGACAGCAACAGGTTCCCACTGCCCTTCCCGTTCCCGTCCAAGCTCTACGTCATGTGCATGGCCAACCTGGAAGAGGTGATGCCTTATTCTTTCTTGCATTGCATAAGTGTTGGTTTTCTCTGAACTAACGACCAGCTCAGCACAAAACATTGCGTTGATGTTCTTGTGCTCAAAGGTTTAGCTGGCATTCTGGTGCTTAGTTATTGGGTGAAAGAGAATTTAAGGTTTATTATTGCACTGTTATTATCTACTGCTACCACCTTATTATAATCTGTATAAATCATGCCAGTTTGTCCCTGGAGAATATGATGGAATTTTAATTTCTCTGTTTATATTACTACTGTATTAATTACGTTGAATGCTTTTGGGGCTCTTCTTAATCTACAATTAAATTCTTGAATAAATGACTTGTCTTGCAAAGATGCTCAACATTTAAAACACAGTAGCTGTATGTAGAAATGTGAGAGGCGACAACTGAAATCTCCAAGCTAGTGTTCAAACCAGTTTCCCTTAGTTTTGAAGGAAAGGTGTTAAATTTCTTCTTCTCTTCTCCTTTTCTTGCAAATTTCAATCCCAGCTTTAAAAATCTTCACAGGAATTAGAATTCTGCTGCACAAACATTTGTTTAAAAAGAAGCCTATTTGACTAATATTTGTTAGATTAAGTTTTATTAATAGCATTACTTTTGATTTGACTCCTGTATTCTTGTGTCCTTCACAGAAGGGTTTTCTGCTTAGGCATCAACTAGATAGCTTAGTTTCATGGTCTCTGTCATGGATGATGCTTTTGAGTAAGCTGATGAATTGAAGCACTGTTAACATCTCAAATAACTGGGAAAATATTTAAAATAAGTATTTAAAATAAATCATCTATTTCTGATAAGTAACAAGAGAACATTGCCTGGGAGACAAAGAATGTTGGTTTATTTGGAAAGGAGAGAGAGAACAAAAAATCATGGGAGCATCCAATCAGATGCTTTTTGCTGTATTGTGTATATTTTCTTTTAAAATACTGGTTAGTACAAAAGAGAATAAAAAGATCACTCAACAAAAATATTTCCCTTTCTTTTTCTGCAGCTTCAAAGCACAGATTCCTTAGACTGCCTGGAACGGCTCATTGATTTAAACAATGGGGAGGGGCAGATTTTCACCATTGATGGCCCCCTGTGCCTGAAGAATGTGCAGTCCATGTTTGGGTGAGCACACTTGTAGATAATATACCTTTGGGAAGGTTCCCAGTTGCTATCTTGAAAGGAAAGCAAATACAATAAGAAATCTGGTGATATGACATGTCCTTTTTTAAACTCCTTTTTAAACTCCTTTTTTTTTTATTTTATGATCTTGTTAACTGTAATTTCATCTCGGCCTTCACTGGTTATGGTCAATATTTATTTTAGTCTTTGTAAAAACCGTAGCATCTGTTTATGCTTGGCAGATAGAAGACAGTAATTTCCATAATTATTGTTCATTTGCCATGAGTGGGATAATGCTGCTCTAGTTTCATAATTTAGCAACACTAGAACTATTGCATTAACTGTAGTTAAAACAGGTTTGGGAGCTAAATTAGTGTGCTTTAGAGAAACTGTTTGCATTTAATATGTATTATGTTTTCCTTAATAACTGTGTTCTAGAAAGCTAATAGACCTGGCTTATACACCATTCCATGCTGTCCTCAAGTGTGGTCACTTAACATCTGATGTGCAAGTATTTCCCAGACCAGAGCCTTTCATTATAGATGAGGAAATAGACCCCATTCCTAAAGCAATTAATACAGGTAACAAATCTTTGATTGCTTTTTTACTAAAATCCATTTGATTTCTGTCCTTTCACTACCACCTCTCATCCTGTGGAGTTATTGCTTCATCCACTTTTTTTTTCTCTGCAAGGATCAGTCTCGGACTGATTTTTTGGTATATTTTTTTGGTGTATGTGTGGCACCAGGGAATAAAAATATCATCCTACTTCATCCGTGTGTACCTGGCTAAAAGGCTGGGGTAGGGTGGAGGCACTTTCAGAGCTCAGGGTGCCAATTTGTAGGGGTAGAGACTGGAAGACAGCCACAGGCTGCTTTCCATGAGCACCCTCATAAGCTTCAGGGAGGAGAAATTATTTTTAAAAACAACTGTGCATTAAAAAAAAACCTTCCCAGCCCTCCCGTTAGTGGACACAGCTCCCATGAGCAGCAGGTTGCTTTTTGTCTTTTGGAATTTATAAGACAGCAGTGGATTGTGTACAGTGTAAATACCAAGGTGTCCAGCAGCAGTCTGTGTCTGCTGAAAGTCACCTTCAAAAGTTGTGTGTTTTATGTATTTCTAACTTATTAACACCTTTACACTCCAGTTGAGTTTGGGTTCTCTTGTGCTACCTTGAGTCATTGCTTCAGAAAACCTGGTGGTGTAAGAAGTGGTGATGTTAAATAGCCTCTGAATACATTTCAGTTGTTTCCAAATATGACTTAAACTGTCTTAAATCTGATTTAAATCTGTTGTTTCCCTGCAGATCTAGAAATTGTTGGGTTTGTAGATATTGCAGACATTTCCAGCCCTCCTGTCTTGTCCAGACACTTGGTATTGCCCATTGCACTTAACAGAGGTGAGCAAGTTGGGTTTATTTCAGCAAAAACTACTTTAAGCTTCCCTTGTAATGAAGTTTAGACTGGAAGCAGTTTTTTTTGCTCTATCAAAATACCAGATGTCATATATGTGTGATTGCATTAAGATTAAAACCTTGACCACAGGCTTTCTTATTTTGCAAACTATGTTCTTTGTGAAGTTCGTAGAGGGACCAGGGTCCTTACAACATCATTATTAATAGAACATGCTAAACTTACAGTTGAGAATAATAATGAGCCATTAAATATGTGGTGCAAGATGAATATTTAATGTCCTTGAGTATATTGCAGTGGAATATTTATGTATCATTATTGTGCCACTTTGCCCAAGAAGTTCATTCTGCAGCTGTTTGTTGTACCAAAGTATTCATTAACTCTTGCAGGCTTAAAGGGTGGTGTCATGGAAACAGAACTCTTGTGTTTGAATGTATTCTCATGTTTTCTCTTTGCTTGCTTTGATTCTTCCCCAGAGGGGGATGAGGTGGGACCTGGGATCACAGATGACACTGAAGATGAGAATTCAGCTAATCAGATTGCTGGGAAAATCCCCAACTTCTGTGTTTTATTACATGGCAGCCTGAAAGTGGAAGGCATGGTGGCTCTCGTCCAGTTGGGGTATGGAGTTGGATGTCTGCCTGAAAAATCTTACTTTGCTCATTTAGGCTTTATTTATAAATTATGCTTATTTATATCTGTATTCTGTGCAGAACTCTGCACTGCTAGACTAAGCTGTGGATTTTTAATTGCAGATTTGTTTCTGTCAATACAAATTACAAACACTGAGCCTCCCCACAGTGAGAGGGAGGCACATTCTAGGCAGAGGCGTGGAAGATTTTCAGCCTTTCAGAGTTTGCTCTTTTCCACAGGCCAGAGTGGTATGGAATGCTTTATTCACAAGCTGATAGCAAGAAGAAATCAAACCTCATGATGTCACTCTTTGAACCTGGTCCTGAGCCCCTCCCATGGCTGGGGAAGATGGCACAGCTTGGCCCCATTTCAGGTACTGGTCATGCTCCTCTGAGTAACTCTTCACCATTCAGTGCTGTGTAAATGATCTTGGCAATTCTTAGTTGCTAAGTCTATAATTTCTTTTTTCTCCCAGATGCAAAAGAAAATCCTTATGGGGAGGATGACAATAAGAGCCCTTTCCCTTTGCAGCCCAAGAACAAGCGCAGCTATGCCCAGAATGTCACTGTGTGGATCAAACCCAGTGGCCTCCAGGTAATGACCCAGCTTGTGCTGCTTTACCTGGAGCAGCAGGAGCCATTTCAGCAGGAACTGGGTCTGTGCATGTCTTGCCCATTTAATGTAATTGCTTTATTGCTTTTCTTTCATTTTTATAAACACTGCCTCTTTACAATGTCATGATTAAAATGCAATCAGAAAGCATAGCTTGTTTAATGAGAGTTGTGTCTCCAGTGGAGCATCTGGCTTGGTTTATTTGATTTACTATAATTACCAGCTATGTTTCAGCCTTTGTGAGCTGCAGTCTTGTCAATGGTCAGGATAATTTATCCATAAAGAGTTGGCGGTTGTTCTGCAGCTTTTCCCAGAAGCTGCCAAGATTTTTGGAATTTTTTTTTCTCTTTTCTGCAGACAGATGTACAGAAGATCTTGAGAAATGCAAGGAAACTCCCTGAAAAAACACAAACCTTCTATAAAGTGAGTAACATTCCAGGCTGGCCTAAGTTTGATCCATAGTGGTGCATTTGACACAGGAGCCACACTGTGTGTTCTGTTCAGGCTTGCAGTGCTCTGTAAAAATTTAAGACTGGTTAGATGAGACAAGGGGGTGTCATTTCAATGGTCTGGCACTACATTTTCTGGCATAGATGTGTCATGTCTGCAAGTGCCCCTCAAGATGTCTGCTCCTCCTTCCATGGTGAAGGACTTCAACTTCTATGCTGTTGTCCAGGCAAAAATTAACTGAGGGTCCAGAGAGGAATAGGAACACAGATTTCATTCTGAGTCTTGATAATCTTTCCTCCTTTTCATCTACAATGGAAGCAGAGAAAGACAAAGTTCCAGGCACTTCTGACCACACCATAATGATCCATAACCAGACTGTTGATGGAGATAATTATTCCTCTTGCGAGCTTAGTGCTGAAGCAGTTTGGTATTGCAGCCTCCAGAGACGTGAGGAATGAATGCCCTACCTAAGTGCACATAAGCACTGTTCAGTTTACAGGGAAGAAAAATCAATGTATCCACATTTTACTGGACACTGTGGTCAAAGGCAGGATTCAAGTCAGTGAAGCCTAAACTTGAGCACTGCTGGGACACAGATGAAGCAGGCAGGTACAATAGCTGAATGCACAAAAGGAATAAGTGGAGGTTTATAAGAAAGGATCAAGGGAAGACCACTGTTATTATCTTCAGCCCTGACTTTCTATCCACGAGCAGCTGGGCAGTTTCCAGCAGCTGCACTGTAACATCACCTTTAAAAACAGATAGAGGAAACCCACGTTGGATGTCGAGGTTTGGAGTGGCTTTAAAAGGGGTTTTGTGTCTTTGCAGGAGCTGAATCGTTTGCGAAAGGCAGCGCTGGCCTTCGGCTTCCTGGAGCTGCTGAAGGGCGTGGCAGACATGCTGGAGCGGGAGTGCACCCTGCTCCCCGACACCGCGCACCCCGACGCCGCCTTCCAGCTCACGCACGCGGCCCAGCAGCTCAAAGTGGCAAGTACTGGAGCCTCGGAGTACGCTGCCTATGATCACAACATTGCTCCTCTGCAGACAGACTTTTCCAGTAGCAGCACTGAGAGAATGTGAAGTCTCCATTTTGGGAGCTTCTCTAGGTTAAGGCTCAAGTGGTTCAGATTTTCTTCTGGCCTGTTCAATCACTGTTTGAAGAAATTCCTGTCCAAACGGGGAAGTTTTGTATCAGTGCTTTCTAAACAAACGTAGCTCATTTGTGGTGGCTTTTAGTCAGACCTGAGAACTGTGGAAAATGTCCCAAACGCAGTGATGGTGCTGGATGATGGGTGGAAGTTATTTAGTACATGTGAGGAGAGAAAAAATTGCCATTGGCAGCTCTTGAGTTCTGGCCTCCCCAAAATGCAGTTACTACATAACTGAACTCACTGGTTAAAGTACCCCTAAAGGCAGCTACTACACTTGAAACATCAACTTGATTAGTCCAAAGAAAGGTGTGAGAAGCACCCTGCAAGATCAGATACAGAACTGATTTTGGGGTGCTGGGCCTGACTTTATGCCCAACTTGACAGCAGACTGAACATTATCACTTGCATTGCAGTGCTTATACTTCTGAAAGTAACTTGATCTTGGGACACATGTTTTTTTATTTGCATAATACAAATAAAGAATAATTCTTCATGAAAATTTAAGTTGGGTTTGTTCTGTTTTCATAACAACCAGGCTGTGTGGCCCAAAACACTGACCTGGTGAAGGCTCAGGTCCCAGCTGTTTAATCTCAAATATCTAATTATACAACTTCTCAGGAAGTTGTATAATTTGAAAGAACAAACAACTGAACTAAAACAAAATTTGGTTGTAAATCTTTATTAATAGAAACACATTCTTTCTGAAGGACTAAAATTCAGTAGTGTAAGATCCATGACAGCTTGCACTAGGTAACACAATTTCACTGATGAATACATACAGATTTTGTAACAGAATTTTAAATGCCCAGAGAAGAAATTAAAGTATGAAAGTGATCCTTGCTGTTCTGTTACTCAGCTACTTCAACCCTTTCACATACTTCAAACATAGGTGCAGTGTGTGCTGAGTGAAATATTGTGTAAATAGTGCTCAACTCTCCTGAGTAAAGTAGGCTGTGCTTCTCCCAAAGAGAAGTTATATCACGCCTCTTATTGGACAGAACACAATTTGTGAAATGCAGCGTGGAGCTTGTACTGCTTCTTTGTTAGTCTCCTTATAACACTATTTCATTTACAGTAACAAGCACTGGGTCCATATCACAAACCTTCTGCTGTTTGTTACTTTTAATATATATAAAATAATTTTTTGTAGGGGTCATATTGTTTTACAATAGAAAAAGATAAATGGTAGCATGGCACTAGGCTAATCTCAGCTTGTGTCTGTTCTGGATTGCTGGCATTGCTCTGCAGTGCCTGGGCAGAGGCAGTTGGGAAACAGCCTGTTCATAACCACAGTACAGTTTAAAGTAAACTTTCTGTACATTTCTACGCTGGGTTAAGGAGGCCAGAGGAATCTGGGATCAGCTACAGGAGGCTCGGTGTGAAGAAGGACATGCTGAATAAAGTCAGCTGAGACAGAGGTTTCCAGGTGAGACAGCAGATGACCTGAAATGTGGGGGGGAGCTTCACTTTGTTGGTGGTGGTTAAAGCAAAGAGAAGAGGGTTCTTCAAACCCTATGTGGGGCCTCTCTTACTAAGATTTGATATGTGCTATCTAAATAATACAGTTTACTTGACCCCCTGTTCCATCCCCCCAGGAGCCAGTCAAACCATACACAGCAACTTCTCTGCTGCACCCCTAACTGCAGGTAGAAGAGTGAGTTTGCTGCCTTGCTGAAGGCTGTAAATACAGGAGCCACAGGCCTGCCAGGATGGATCAGAGGGGCCCCATCTCCCATGAGAATTCCTCCCTTTGCAGGGGTTGGATGGAGTTCTGTTGGGGTTCACATGCCAGCGGAAAGCAGGTACCTATGTTCCCTTGTTTTGTTCCATTTCAGTGCTTGCTCTACCAACCAGGAAAGCATTTCTACCCTCAGTGGCAGCTTTCTTTCCTTAATGACTGGACAGGATGTGTTGCTACAGGAATACACATTGCTATGGTCCACACAGAGCTCCTATTCTGTTAAGGCTCAACTAGAAACAGACTAAGTTGGTAGCATTTAAATTGGGGTTAGCTACTTCCAGTTTTAATTCTGCACCATCAATAATGCTGCAGAAGAAAAGGGGGGGGTATATACTGAGCAAATTTATCCCAGTGGTTGATAAACACCCGAACACGGCACAGTGGCCTCAGACTGTGCTTCCTCCTGCCATCAAGGTGCCTCCCAGGAACAGCACAGGCCAGCTAAAAGCATATCCCACATCAGAAGCCCTATCTGCATGCAATATTGAAAGAGCAAATCTCCAATTAAAAGATAAACACTATTTCTATTTAGTGCTGCTCCACTGATTATAAGCATATCATGTGCAGATAATAGGATTTCTTTCTAATATGCTGGTTGACAGGATACAAGTTTAAATGTTCAATGGTAAATGCCATGCATAGATGATGGAAAGGGAATGTTACCTGAATTCACTATGAAATCATGAAATCTAGCGTGATCATTTCATTTTACAAAATTCTGGCATTACAGTGGGTAAAACGGTAAGAATTAGAGGCTTATCTTGTCCCCAAGTGAGATAAGAAAGCATTGCAGTCCTGCTTCACTTCATCTTCCTCTTCTTTGGTCCAAGGTGCTGTTTCCTTTGCTTGTAGAGGTGACGGAAGTTTACAAATAACCCTGGAAAAGAAGGAAGTTTTTAGGTAGGACATCACTGCATCTTTTTATGCTAAATTGCTGTACCAAATCTAAAGGAAAAATAAGAGAACCCAACTAACCCAACCACCACATAACAAAACAAATTATTTAGGGGTGTGTATAGCAGTGAAAGCTAATGCAAGTGTTTTCTTGCTGGCTGAGGCAGGAGTTGCTGCACAGGTTGTTTGGTAAAGAGCTGCTTAGAAGGTTTGTTTGTCACCTTTAAGAAGTTGTGACACCAGCTGTGCAGAGCTAAGGAGGTTGAACCGGGTATTTCCGAGTGAAACTCAACTGAAGGGTGGCTTTAAGCAATGTCTCTGAGCAGGAGAAATCTAGTGAAAGTTCAGTTTAAAATTCTGGGTTAGATTGTGGTGAGTTGCGGATACCCAGTGTGGGTATGGGTACAAGGAAGTTAAATTGTATTTACAGGTGTAACACAAAAACCAACTATGTCTCAAGCAGGTTTTCTTCTTTAAATATACTATTTAAAGAGAGCTCTTTCTATATTGTTTCGTGGAAAAGCATGACTTCACCTTGCATTTGTGATTATATTGCAACATTTAACTAAATTACTTTAATTTGAAATTATGTTTAGATTGCCATTACATCATTCCAAAGCTCAGATACCCCCTAATAGGTTGAAACTAAGTATACTGTGGTTATAAAAACATGTAAAAATGATTCCTTTAACCCAAGTTTATGCTGCTGATTTTTTACCAAGATCACCTTTTTGAAGGGCTAATCAGAGCTCGTTGGAGGTGTGTTCCACTCCATCACTGACAAATTTACATGAACATTTCACAAGAATAATACTTAACCTCAAACAATTTTTTTGTTGCCATGGTCCCCAAGATGCAGGAATTTAATTTTCTTTGAAAAATCAAGTTATTCAGGGGAAACTGGCCTTTTTATTTCAATATTGAGAAACAGAATTAAATACTTACCTAAAAACAAGGCTATAAGATATATTTGAAGCACAAATGGAAACTGGATTGTGACATTCAGTGGATTTGGCAATCCCAGGCTAAATTTCCCTGTTTCACTGAAGATTGGAATGGACTGAACAATACAGACAGCTGAAAGCAGAAGGTCACCATCATTACCAAGTACAGATAAAATATATAATTACACACCCCACACCAACTATTTCAGCATAGTCCCTTCTAATTTGCCAGTGCTGATTAATGACAGCAATTTTTAAGGTGTTGAACATGCAGTAGGGTGGGAAGCACCTGGCTGAGGGGGTGCAGCAGGGAACCTTCCTGGTGAGACTCTGTTCTCATGCACAGCTGCAGCCCCAGGGCCTGTGCCAGCAGGATTTGCCATCCAGAAATAGCCCCAGCAATGAAACAGGCACACTCCTCCCCTTGCTCTGTGTTGGGCAATGCTCAAAGCTCCTCCTGGCTCACACACACAGGTTTGCAACATAGGAATAAGCCCCTGCCTGTCCTCTGCAGTCATTTACAAGATAATATCAGGATCTGGGAGCTGGTGTGAACCCAGGCCAGGCTGAGCAAGTCAGGCCCAGCAGACAAAGCTTTGGTCCAGCAGAGGGAAGTGAGCACTGGCATCCTGTGCAGCTTGTTCTTGTTCCATTTGTTCATGCAACCTGTCCTTGCCTGCCCCCTCCAGAAAGGGACTCTTTCCTCCAAAAGGAAGCCTTCACATCAAACTGAAAATAGTATTTGATTCATTATGAAAGACAAAATGCTTATATTTGGTTCACCTCAAAGCAAATTTATTTATCTGTTGTTCTATTTTACTATTTTAAGTCCAGCTGCCAAAAAAAGAAATCGAGTTATTGTCCTAGCCTTGAGTTCATTATTTAGTAAACTGTTTTAAGGAGATACCTTCTGCCAATCCCCCTAAGGGGTAGAGAGGGATCCAGACAGTGTAACGGAGCCAGGTGAGTGGTTTCCATTCAATTCCAATGCAGGAAAGCATGTAATAGGGATACCTACAGTGTCAGGAGAAACAAACACTTTAAAATGGAAACTACTACCAGAATTAGTGTTGTGTTGAGCACTGTCCCAAATGACACAAGAATATTCAAGGCATTGTCCCTGTGGATGATGATGGGCACGCAGTTAGTGGGCAGTTCACAGGGCTCGGGCCATTCTGAACACAGGGATGAAGGCAACTGCCTAGCTGCCTAATAACCCTTTCAAATTACTTTGTTTCAAAGATAAAAACCTCATTTAACGATGGACATTCAAAGCATCAAAGAAACAAAGAAATATGGGCAGTATCACTTTTGGACTCCAGCCCTGCTTTAGCTTTTGGCAGATGAAGGAAGGCTGTGAACAGTCCATGACTCAAGGAGCTTTTCTCCTCTGGGGCCAACTCTTCCAAAAAATACAAAGATCAAAATCTTTACAGAGTTATTGGGAACAACCACTTGGTTCTGTGCACACTTGGTAGGAGGAAAATCCCACCAACCTGAACAGCTCAGTGATACTCCAGAAATAAAATATGAAGAACACCACAGGTTTGCTCTGCATTTCCTCCAAGGTTCCAAGGATAACAAACAACACAAAGTTTCTTCCAAATACCTATTAAAGGAAAACATATTAAGGAACATTCACTCTTCATCAAAAGGAAGGCAAGACCTTGCTGTCAGAAACACAAGATACCTACTCCTCACACATCTGAGCATACACCTAACTCACTGCTGTGCTGTGACCTGATTCTTACAAGGAGGCATCTTGCCCTTTATTTAGGTACAATCCAAGGGACCCAGTCTCAAATCACCCATCCTCATTTTTATGCACAACAACCACAACCAGGATAAAAAGGGCACTGGCACCAAATCAAAATCATGCGCTTTTATCAGCTTCTTGCTTCTGCTGTCCTGCACTCCCTT